TGCATCACTATACTTGACATTGCATCTCATGGCATTACACATTTTATTATTGATGAACTTGAACACGTGTTTTGTTGATCTTGTGAGTGTTTCTCTGTGAAGCTTGTGACTGTTGAATATTGAGTTGTTATTGCGAATGTGTAAACTGATAGAGTGTGGTTATTGAGTTGTGTGTTTGGTAAACTGTAAACTATTAGACTGTAGCGTGGAGGTTTAGATATGGTGTAAGAAGTGCCCGTATTTTGTTCACTTAACTTGTGTTTAGAGGTTTGCTTGTTGGGTACCACGTGGTTTGGTACTCACCCCTTGCTTCTACAAATTTTTGTAGGATACGAGCCTGGATCTTTGTGATACCTGTCATTCTTTTCGTTTCCGAGGCATCTTGTGGAGGATTGTGAGGTAGCTGCTTGTCATCTCAGCGAACTTTCCTACTCCAGTTTATGACTTTGTTTTTACTTGAAAGACAACTTCATGTTAGACTCCTATTTTATTTCAATTCTAATATTTACATTAGAGGTTTGTGCACGTGACAACCTGATTTTGGGGATTGAATTAATATGACTTGGTTTCATAATAGGAATTGTAGTTGGATTGTCATTTACTTCCGCACTTTGTTAGATATTTGGTTTTAGGCTGACTTGTCTTGGTGGGATAAAGACGAGTGCCATCACACCTATTTTTTGGATCGTGACATCATCACTAATTTTTTATTTTGTAAAATCACTGTCTTTTTTAAGGGGTTGTTTGTCTTACACATGAGGATTCAATCTAGCAATTCAGATTCGTTAAGCTGATATAAATTTTATTTTTATTTTTAGAAAAAAGATTTAATTGAACTGCAAGTATGGAGCAATAAGGATTATGCAAAAGTTGCATTCTCTAATTTGACAGATAATAATGAGCTAAAAGTTCGTTTGATGCAAATTAACATATAGATTAAAAGTTCTTTTTTTTAGCTCTACGACATTGAAAAAGGTTAGAATCATTTTAAGAAAATTATATAATTAGATATACCTCACTATTTATTATTACTTTCAAAATATTGTGTGTGTTATCTATCACCAATTAAGAGTTTTTTATGTATCGATATATGTATTTTTTTACAAGATACACAAAAATAGGGAGAGAGGTAAGCGAAATTCATATATATCTCAGAATTCAAATACAAATCATAATACATATATGTATTTGGAATATCAAATCGAAGAATGGCGATTGAGATTGAAGTGAGGTGAGAAAGGAGAGCGAGATTTGCTATGTATCCTAGATACATGCGAATCCACTTTGACACAATGTATGTAGAATAAATTATCCCTAAATTTGACCTGTGTATTTGTGTTACATATATCTGGACATTTCTGGAGGCACCAAAATTAAATAAGACGCATAATACTTCAAACTAGAGTATATCTAAACAATTAACATCTAAACTAGTGAAATTTATGTAAGTTCCTCCAAATTGATCATAAATTCTTATCTTATTCGATTTTTTTTATCTATATCTATATAGATGAATCGTAATTTAATCTATTTTTCCTTCATCCATTTTCAATTAGCCTAAATGGGATCCAAATCTAATCCACCCATTTGCTATATACACAATATTTGGTAACGGTAATGAATAGTAACTATCATTGGAAATAATGTTTACATATTTAGGAAAAATAGCTTTAAAAGCATTGTATGAAATACATATAATTTCTTAAATGAAAATAGTATTATTTTGGTTAGATGTTATTAATTGTTAAAATGTTCACTGGATGAATATTTAATAAAACTCCTAACTTAATTCTGACAATATAAAATCATAATTAAAAATTCATCTAGTGTATCGAGACATTATAAGCCTGACGTTACATAGTTAATGTGTTTATCCAACTTTTTATGCCGGAGAGAAAAGGGGAAAAAAAAAGTCAAAAATTTTGAAAAGATATATTAATTTTTTTAATTAAAAGGCTAAAATAGTTTTTAATAGAGCAATTTTGTTCTGATGATTTTTTTTAATATCACTGCGAGTACGACGTTTTTCAAAAAAAAAATTGAATAAAAAAAGTTAATAAAGGCAGGCATTTTGGTCCAACATTTGGTATGCCCCCTGCAACATCTGTTAACTTTTTTTTTGACAAATCGCTCTTAAATTTAAGGAAAAAGAATTTTTTAATAGAGAAATCACTGTCACAATAGCGAATTTTGTGTTCTTTTTTAAAAAAATTAACATATCAATTTTGTCACAAGAAAATTGTTTCGTCAGAAGCGATTAATATATCATTATTTTTGATAATTTTTTTTATCCTTTTGACTTCAAACTCCATAAATTCGTATGCATACAAATTTCATCAAGTTCAAACATTGGTACGTAGTCCGTTACTTCACATAAGATTATCGACATGATATATCATTATAATTTGTGAGCGATTAATCGATGTCACCCAACGCAAAACCGCCTTTTTATTGTAAAATTATATTTTGTTTATACAGTATAGTAACATATATATGTCTATATGGTGACTCTAGTTATTTCTTATCCATGTATATTTTTTATATCTAAACGTAGCTTAACAAATATCTAGCTATTTTCCCAACTCTTAAAATTTTAACATATTGTAAAGAATAATTTCACTTTTGCTCCCTAAATTATTTGTACATTATATTCTGATTTCTGTTCTTTGCAATATTCCATCAAATATTTTGTCTTTTAATTAATTTAAAAGGGATAATACATAAATGTGCCCTTTTAACTTGACTTCAAATTATATTTATGTCCTTTAAGTTTGAATGTGCACAAATAGACATTTAAACTTGTATAAAGTTAAATAAATAGACACATATGTCCTACATGTCATTTTTCGTCCTACGTGGTTTTCTACGTGTATTGTGTCATTTAGGACACATGTGTTTATTTATTTAAAAGTTTGATAGTTAAGGTATCTGTTTGTGCATTATAAAAGTTAGAGGTCAAAATTAAAATTTGAAATCAAATTTCAAGTCCAATATATATATATATATATTATGTCAATTTAAAATATCGATTTAATCCCATTACATAAGGAGTGTGTTAACTACCTGTGGATTATTTTTATATAAGCTATATTATCATAAAATGCAGAGTATTAATACCATAAACTTAATACAACACATAAATAAGTATATTGTATAAAATAGTGGAACAGTTGATAAATATGATAAAGTTATTAATATTCACGAGCAAAAGAAATTTAAAAAATACACATTTTAACTAATTAAAAATTAAATATACTTACTCAAATATCATGAAAGACTCTGAAAGGATCTCATCGACTCCTACAATTTACCTGTAATTGTCATATTTACAAACTATACTACATATTTAATTTGATCGTAATCAATTTAATAGAAAATTTTTATTATATTACTCTCAAAATGTAATATTAAAATAAGAGTAAGAATAAAAAAAGATAAGTAATTATTTTTCTAATAAAATGATAAAATTTTGGAGTAAATAATTTAAATAAAATTATGGCAAGTAATTTGAACAGAAGGAAGTACTCTCGTTCCAAAATAAGTCTCACTTGACAAATATCTCGTTCATTAAAAAACAATGTATAGCTTAATAAATTATCTTTATTTAATAGATCATAGATGGCTCTTTAAAATTAAACACTTCTTCCCACTACAAGAATATAGTTTTAAAAAAAACAAAGTTTTTGTTTTGAATTTTTTTAGGTTATATTTATTTTAGTATTTTTCTTTTATTATGATAATATTTCATATGTTTTATAAAAGAAGATCTGGTTTGATTTGACACGAACTTTAGAATATAAAAAAAATAAATTAAATCGTGTGGTTTTAAATTAAAGTTAGCTCAAATGTACAAAATTATTCTTTGATCTTATAACCTTAAATATGAAAAGCTGAAATTAAAATATTACCAAAAAAAAATATCATTCTTTTTAAGACAAACTAAAATAAAAATAAAATAATTTTTTTTAAACGGAGAAAGTATTTGTATTAAAACGAAAACGGATATAATACTATCCTTTTGATTAAAAGTAAGTATTCACTTCTGTATGTGCCAAATAATTGGTGTAACAGGTAACAACATAATCAGATAAGCCTACCTTATCCATTATCGATCGACTTATAGAAAGATAATTTAAGGATAAATATTTTTAAAAATTATTTAAAGTAAAAAAACGCTACATAAAAATCTTTTGGGTTCACATTTATTTTAAGAATCATTTTTAAACTATATGAAATAGTCAGAGAAATATGAATTTCGACTTTATCTAAAAAAAATAATCGCCAAAAATATTTTTTAAAAAATAAATAAACAAACCAAAAACCACTTTATTATTATCTATTTCCATTTAGGTAACATTTTCCGATTCAAATAAATTTGACAATAAATAATTCATATATCTTTTGAATATTTTGAATTGCAGTTATTACAATTTATAATACTTTTTATTTAATTTATAAATATATAAATTTTATTTTTTAAAAAATTAAAAATTTTATACATAAATATTCAATTAAATTTAAATAGTTTGACTTTTCAAAAATAAAATATCCAAGTGGAATATTTATTATATAGAAATTACAGCTTTTATCTGTCATTTATACTTGATAATATATATATATATACTACATCTTAGCTGTCCAATTAATAAATATCATCCTATATTTTCACAAGAATCCTCTCATATAAAAAGTTTCTAAAATATGGATAAGATTTTTTTTTTGCTCTAGAATAGATATACAAATCCTTTAAATTTGTGGAGTGTAAATGCATGACTGTCATCCCTTTAATTAATGAGTGGCCTTTAATAATAGATTAAGTCAAACACAACAATTTTTCATTATCCACCATGTATTAATTATTGTCATTTTCAACAAAAAAAATAAGGAAAACTAATTATAATTTTGATTAAATTAGTGGTAGATCCTATTTTACTGAGAAGAAGTAACAGAAATTTGATTAGTATAAAAAGGGATTCACTTTGTAAGTTCAAAATCATCATTCCAGCGAATAAATATTATCTGGAGAGTTCGAGGCAAAGATAAATACTAAGCTCTTTGTCTCTCCTCTCCCTATATATGTAAAAAATATATATGCTGGTTTTATCTCTATTAAAATAAAGAAAAACAAAAACCCAAAAATAGAGATTTTATTCCATCTTTATAAATCAGTTTTTATCTCGGAGGGTAATTTTTATTCATATAAAAACGAAAATATAAATAATTATATAAAAAAAGGCAAAAATGTCGACAATTCAACCAAATAACTCTAAGATTACCGTGTATGTGGTATCATGTTGGATCTTTGCTGCCTTTGGAGGGCTTATGTTTGGTTATGATATTGGTATTTCAGGTATGTATTTTTTTATTTTAATTTAAGGATATTTTGGACTTTGGATTTTGATTTGAATGAGTATTTTCAGGTGGAGTGTCTGGTATGGATGATTTCCTGCTTAAATTTTTCCCAAATGTTTACGAAAGGAAGCTTCACGCAAAGGAGAATAACTATTGTAAATATGATGATCAACTTCTTCAGCTATTCACCTCATCATTGTATCTATCAGCTTTGGTTTCGAGTTTCTTTGCATCCAAGGCGTGTTCAGCTTTAGGACGTAGGCCTACCATCTTCATGGCTTCCCTTTTCTTCATCGCTGGGGCTATTATAAGTGCTGCCTCAGAACACAGATGGATGCTCATTGTTGGTAGAATATTGTTTGGTGTTGGTGTTGGTTTCGGAAATGAGGTATTTTTTTTCATTTTCTTTTTCTTGCAAAATTTTTCATATACTAATTTCCCAACCAGCGTCACATTTTTTCTTTCATACTTTGTGGCAGACTGTTCCTCTGTTTTACTTTTTGTTTGTTTGTGGCAGACTGTTCCTCTGTTTTTGACAGAAGTGGCACCCATCCAACTCAGAGGAGCTGTTAACATTATGTTCCAACTTTTCGTAACGATTGGAATATTCATAGCAAATCTTGTGAATTATGCTACATCGAACATGCACCCCAACGGGTGGAGGGTGTCACTTGGCCTGGCAGCGGTTCCAGCTTTCATGCTGCTAATTGGTTGCTTCGTTATCACTGACACTCCTGCCAGTTTAATTGAACGTGGCAAAGACGAACAGGGCAAAGCTGCACTAAAGAAAGTTAGAGGGGTTGATGATGTTGAAGTTGAATTTAAGGAAATCGTTGCTGCTTGTGAACAAGCTAAAGCTGTGAAACATCCATTCAGAAACCTATTGAAATCTGCCAGTATCCCACCCCTTGTTATTGCTATATTGTTGCAGGTTTTCCAACAATTCACTGGAATTAACGCCATTATGTTCTACGCACCTGTCCTGTTCCAGACCATGGGATTCAAATCCGATGGTGCACTTTTATCCGCTGTCATTACTGGACTTGTTAATGTTGGAGCCACATTTGTTTCCATCTACGCCGTTGACAAGGTTGGAAGGAGAAAATTACTCCTCCAAGCTTGTTGCCAAATGTTGATCTCTCAATTGGCAATTGGTATCATCTTATCCGTCAGTTTGAAGGAAACAGGAACCTTGGACAGGACACTAGCAGCAGTGGTTGTGATCCTTGTGTGCACATATGTTATGTCATTTGCTTGGTCATGGGGACCTCTAGGATGGTTGATTCCAAGTGAAACATTCCCAATGGAAACAAGAACAGCCGGTTTCGCATTTGCAGTGAGCACAAACATGCTTTTCACTTCAATCATTGCTCAAGCATTCTTAACAATGCTTTGCAAAATGCAAGCAAACATATTCTTCTTCTTCTCTGGATGGATCGTCGTTATGGGACTATTCGTAGTCTTCTTAGTACCAGAGACTAAGGGAGTTCCCATTGATGGAATGGTTGATGTGTGGAAGAGCCATCCAGTATGGAAGAGATGCTTCAAGAATGAATAAGTAAAATCACAAGATTTAATTGATGATAATACAATTTTTCATATATATATAATATGTTATATGTATGTAAAAATAATTAAGTACCTCCAGCCCTCTACCCTCCTATATTTAAAATTGGTTTTGAAGTCTTTGGTTTGTGATCTAGCGCTTAAGTTTATGGCAATTATTGCCTACAGTCCCTATCCCACTATCAATTGTAAATTTATTTTTATTTTTATTTTTCCCTTTTATAATAATTCCTAAGTATTTTGCTTCCAAAATTTTGTTGCAAATGATATGAAATTCATTTTTCAATAATTGCAATGTGTCTCTCTCCTTTCCTTGTTCAATTCTTTATGGTTGCAATAAATAAATAAATATAACTGTTGCAAATTAACATTTTGGTCACTCAACTATAACATATTGTTCCGTACAATTATATTTATTTTAAATCCATAAAATTGATCAAATTTGTATTTCTTTTTTTCCAACAAAAGTCATTATAACCGAAAAGTCAAATGAATGGTTACATATATATATCCCTTCAATTTTGACCATATGATAAATATTATATTAGTTTTTCTTTTTTTATTGATTTTCAACAATTCATTTAACTTAATTACGATTTGTATTAATAAAAATATACATAATTTAACTTATTTTTACATTCATAATATATTTTTAAAACTAACTTTGTAAATATTATTTTTTCTGAAATAAATTTTAATTAGTACACCCCCACAAAGTGCGAGTGTTCACTTTTTTTCTTTAACTTTACATGGATCATTAGTTATCCTTGAATAGAGAGACAAGTAAATAAACAAAGATTAAAGAATAAGTATATTAATCAAATTATTCTCTTAATTAATTTTTTCCTTAGGGCTATGCAAAATCTTATCCTCCAACTAAATGGGAATGGAGAGAATATTCTTTTGGGTAACATTTGAAAACTGATTAATCCAAGTTCTACGAAATGGCTGCCATTTTTGCTTCTTGATGACTGCCAATTCCCATGATTCTCGTTAGTTTCATCAATTTAATTAACACAGATTACGTAAATACGTTTTTTAATTTGATATATATATTTTATTTATGTTTTTCGATTTTATATAAGTATACATTTATATTTGTATAAAGTTGAATAAGTCGACACAACATGAATTCAATGTAGCATACAACCATACACCACATAGGACATATTATGTAGGACGTGCCAGTATATTTGTTCAACTTTATACAAATACTGTCTACTTGTACATAATAAAAGTTTGATCGCATAAATGTGAAAATTAGGTCAAATTAAAAGGAAACATTTATATATTATAGGAAAAATGCACAAGTACTCCCCTAGACTATGATCGAAATTTCAGAGACACACCTTAACTAAACTAAGATCTTATTACCTCCCTGAACTTTTTTTTTTTGTAATTATCTCTCACGCGCCTCAAATGCGTGGAGTCATAGAGTGTACCACGTAAGACAAAAGGTGTATAAAATTACAAAAAAAGTTTGGGGGGGAGGGTGGGGTTAATAGGACCTTAGTTTAGTTAGGATGTATCTCTAAAATTTCAGCTATAGTTTAGTGAGTATTTGGGCATTTTCCCTATATTATATCTTTTACCAAGTATCCGCTTTAGCTTTTATTCCATTTGTTCACTTTTTACTTGACAATTATTTCCAGCATAATTATTTATTTTTTTAAGCCTACGAGAAATAACATCAATTAATATGAATATTATGGTAAACACTCATACCAATCTTGTTTCTTAATTAACACCTTGTTTTAATGGTTGTTATCTATTGTATTGTTAATTTAAATACAATATTTATTTTGATTGTTATTTAAATTTTATTTTATCGTATTATCGCTTAAAAGTCATTCCTAGATAACAAAGAATTATCCTATTTTGTGTAATGATCGATTTAATATGATCGCGTTTGTTTGCATCAAGTTTTAAAGAGATAGGAAATAAATGCAATCACTAATAAAATATAGAGAAACATAATTTTATTCTTTAAGATTGTGAGTACAAATCTGTTGATCCCTTGATTCCTTTCTCATAAAATTTATCCATGACGCGAGGGACATATTTCTCGAAGTAAAATGATTGATTTTGATCTCTTTATGAATATTTTATGAATTTATAGAACATTTGAGATGTCTCTTAAAGGAAATATAATACCTTTTTATATAGACATGAACTAGAGTCCAAGGTTAAATTGAAAACACTTTTGATAGACAGTGTCACACAAAATTTCAATATCTACATCGTCGTTAAGTTAACATTTTCTTCTCAGTTTGTCTTTACTTATTATTTAATAATCTTATTATATCGTTTAGCTTACCTTTTTAAAGTAGCTCTATCATGTATCCTGCTTTTCTTTTGAGTTTATGATTTCAATTGTAAATGTGAGACATTACGAATAGAACAATACAATCTATTAAAATAATATAATGCAATATACTGTACTACAGTATGATACATTATGAAATAATGTATATAACCATTCAATCAAAGTAAAAAAACCGTGTAAAATACAAAATAAACAAGTAAAAATGGCAGAAGGATGGAGTATCTTCTAAACAAAATGAAGTTAGCTTAAAATATATGCATAATACACAAATATGTCATTTAATATATATGCATAATACACAAATATGCAGTTTAACTTTTTTATATTTATGTCCTTCAACTTAAAATTTTTACAAGTAGACACTTAAATTGTATAAAATTAAACAAATAGATACACGCGTCCTACGTTGCAACCTGAATTGTAATTTGTGTCCTACGTGGTATCCTTTGTGTATTATGCCACATAAAACTCATATATCTACTTGTTCAACTTTATATAAATTTATATGTCAATTTGTACACACGAATATAAATGTGAATTGAAATCAAGTTAAAAATGGAAGATATTACACCCAAAAACTAACAAAGGTCCATGCAAACACATGGCAAAAGAAAACAAATGTGAGTACTTGGGTCAGAATTGCATATCAAAATCAGACCTTCTAATTGGTGTAAATGTAAATACCCCTTATCCAATATCCTTATCTCCACCACATATATGTGAACAACAAATATGAATCTTGTTCAATCTCCACACATACAATACATTGCTCAATTTTCCCCCAATTCCTCAATAATGGCTATGGCAACTCAAGCTTCCCTCTTCACCCCTCCTCTCTCCGTCCCCAAATCCACCACCGCTCCATGGAAACAATCCCTCGTATCGTTCTCTACACCTAAGCAACTCAAATCCACCGTCTCAGTAACCCGACCTATCCGTGCCATGGCTGAAGAAGCCCCAGCTGCCACCGAAGAAAAACCCGCTCCAGCGGGATTTACCCCACCTCAATTGGACCCAAACACACCCTCCCCAATCTTCGGTGGCAGCACGGGTGGGCTTCTTCGAAAAGCCCAAGTGGAAGAATTCTACGTCATCACATGGGAATCACCAAAGGAACAGATCTTTGAGATGCCAACAGGTGGTGCTGCTATAATGAGACAAGGACCAAATTTGTTGAAATTGGCAAGGAAAGAACAGTGCTTAGCTCTTGGTACAAGGTTGAGATCTAAATACAAGATCAATTACCAGTTTTACAGGGTTTTCCCCAATGGCGAGGTGCAATATTTGCATCCCAAAGATGGTGTGTACCCTGAAAAAGTGAACCCTGGCCGTGAAGGAGTGGGTCAGAACTTCAGATCAATTGGGAAGAACAAGAGTGCTATTGAAGTCAAGTTTACTGGGAAACAAGTGTATGATATTTAAGTTTGTGCACTTTTTTTTCTTTTTTTTTAAATTTATGATATTGTAATTGTTAATGGTTTTGTGATTATGTAGTGCATGTAACTTTTATTTGACACTACAAATACAGCATGGATCCTATTAAATATTTCTATCCTATTGATTACATACATGTCTCTTTTTATTTGTTCATGTTTGACTTGACACCGCAAAAATACAATAAATAAAAAAATAATTTTAATATATTGAACAAGTAAAGATAGATGCAGTAAGTATTTATTTTGCATCACAAAATAGAAATAAGAAAACGAACACACCATCCTCCCAAATCTAAACTTCACTTAACTGTAGTGAAACTTAATTCTAAAATTGTAATGATTTATAGTTTCATTCAATAATGTCTACATGTCACAACATTGTTAGGGGGGTTGTTTTGACAAAAGAGCATTAGACAAAATAATGTATGCATTAGTTTTGTGTATTAACTAGTGCGTTGATTGATCTCTTTTCCTTTTATCAATTACATCAATATGTCAATAATATTGAGATTAAACAGGTTAAATTGATGGGTAATGACTCAAACCCATTTTTAGGTCAATTTATCCAAAATGAATTTGGATGAATCATGATTCATTTTTCATTTTAATCTCTTTAGTTTCAGCCCAATTTACTCGTATATTCGACACCCCAGATAATATATGAAGCACTCTTGATGAAGCTTACATTGACATGTTGAAGTATCTTTTCTTTATGAGTTGCTTAATTCCTATCGTTAATACATGAAAATGTGTGTCATGTGGTACATATTTTGCTGAAACTCCATTATCTTTATCTTTAGCAAATGCCAAGCTTGTAGTTTTGGGGTGCCAATCACAAACCCTCCAGTTTTGGATCATGACAAACTCAAATATGGAATCTATCATGTTTACAATTGCATTACCTTCAAAACAGCTTTAACCAACACAAAGTTCTCGTTTAAGATGTTTGATACAAACGGCTGTTAAATAATGAAAATACACTACAGAATTATTATGAGATTATCGTCATCCGATTATTATTTGGTTAGCAAACTATAGCTGATATTACTCTATCTACAGATTTTCTTTACCTTTTTGGGGTTGGTTGTGTTTCTTCAGTCTGTCATATAGTCAGATGAACCTTCCAGGAACAAGGGACCAACAATTATGTTGAAACTAAAATAAGTATAGGAACAAAGCAGAAGCTATTATAAGAAACAGCTTTTCTTGATCTGGGAGTGCAGTTACACTAGAAATGGCATCGAAGAAAAATTACTACTAGTTCATTATGGTCTCATAAATTTGGAGTACAAGAACAAACATTTAACTGCGGAAGGACAATAGAGATAAGAATGAAAAGCATTTGCAAGACTTATGTAATGTATGGACTGATCAGCTGCAACTGCCTTGTTATAGCAGCATCCTCCGCTGAAACAAACAACAAAATTATCAGGAAGATGGAGCCGAGTAAAAGGAAGGAAATCTCTTCTAGTTGGATATACTTTAACCAGTGATGCTGACGGAACATGAAAATCTTGATCTAGAAATGAGAAAAAGAAATGGCTCCAAACACGCGCAAGAAATATTTCAGTTATTTAGGCTCCATGAATATCATACTCATATGTATGACCTTTAAGTCAATAGAGCAAAATGATATACGTAATATTTCAGCTTCAAACAGGCGCACATTAAGAAAAGGAACCTCAATATTGGTACATCTATAGGTTTTATGTAAATGGAGAAACTTACAGCAAATATTAAGCAGACGAAGAGACACGCTAGTGCACACCGGGCAGCCATCCTTCGAAGAATTCAACTCCATCCATCGGTGGAGGAGATAAGGTGCCAAGGGGTGTAACAGTTATCTGTAATTAAGGGTAATAACATGTTAATGATGAGTCATTAGCGAGAGTCATCAAAGAACTTCCATCAGTTAAATGAATTGTACATACATATCCTTGTCGAAGGAAAGAGTAATCATTATCACCTTCATCCATGTGTATTCCCCTAACCTGGGAAAGATAGCATAATAAATTTATTAGCTGTAGGTAGACATTTTACCAAAAAAAAAAAATGTACAAAGACAATTACAATGAAGCAATTTAGATTAATCAGAAAAGGAGTTGAACCCATAATATTCAAACTGTAAGACCTCAAACATACAAATATCAAGACTAGACTTTCCTTGTACAAATGTATTAGGTATATTAGCAACCCATTCTGTTCATCAAATGATTTTTTCTTCTAGACCTTTTGTTCGGAGAGAGAGAGAGAGAGAGAGAGAGACATGTAAAAGGCACGTGTAATCTACAGTGCACGGATTCAAAGAAGAAAACCTAGAAGAAAATGCTTCAAACCTCTCACCTCTCTCTCCTCCGAAAACAAGCAGACTGGAAAAAGAACTTTAACATAGAGAATATGCTGAAAAATAACATGAAGGGTAAGATGTCCAGTATTGCGAGTGAGACCAGAAAAGAGTATTCTGTAGCATGAGCAGGACAAATGATATGAAAAGGCATTGATTAGATCAAGGGATGAAATGCATTTGTGTGATAGCATAATCGAAAATTTAGCAAATACGTGCTATATAGAAAAAGAGATAATTACTTCTCTCTTAAATATTAGGTGTTCTTTTTCTGTGCTTAAGGTGCTCTCTTCCACAGATGCCTCTTTACTAGCTGATGAATCCATTGTCATTGTGGATAACATTCTTCCTCCTTCTGCTTCTGAAACAACTTGCCTCCATCCCATTTTGAAAATAGTCTTGCCTTGCTTCGTCAGACGATAACCCTATCAATAACAATGAATGTCTTTTTGAAGTCAGTAGCATATCTATTTTGGCAACTGTTGAACTGTGCGTCCATCTAAACTTAAAGCTTAAGTTGTTAGAGGTAGTACACTTAATTATATTATGTCCCAGCACGCCTTCTCACATGCAGGCTTGATTTATTTTTTTCATGAACCAAACATGTGGAATGACTACAAATATGTACAATCATCTTAGGGTTTCTATAAGGTAAATCAAGAAGATCTTTTATCTATAAGGTAAATCAAAAGATCTTCTATACTCCTTTCACTATTTTGAAATAATCTCCTATTTCTTCTTTCCAAAGTCTATGTTTATGGCAATGGTACAAAAGCTGGTTTACCTTGCAATTGGCAACATCGGCTGGTACGTCTATGTTAAGAAAGCAATTTTGAGGATAAGTATTATTCTTGATCTCAGTTGATATAGCTGTAATGATTGGCATGCAAGCTTCAGCGGCCAATACGAAATCATCATCCTTGCTTTTTCCAGCAATCCTGAAGTTGACAAATTACATTGAAAAAGGAAGAATTATAAAGTAACTTGTCTTTGTGCTAACCCCAAGACAGGATAATGTGATGTAATATACCATTCATATGACAATGAGACAGAAGGAACACCATTGAAGAAAGCCTCTCGCGCACCAGCCACTGTCCCTGAGTAAACACTGCATCACCAAAATGGATCCATTAACATTAAGCAGCCCCTCGTTTTACTATAATACAAAAAGGCAAGTCTGCTGAGATATTATTAAATTAGTACTAATAGCTGAATAGAGAAATACTGCAAATCGTAACAAGAGGTAATAATTGACAACTTCATCTAGGATGATCTAAAGGTTAGATATAATTACTTACATGTGATAACCGCAATTGCTACCCTTATTGATACCACTGACAACCTGCAAGCAGAAATTGACATAAGTACACATAGTGTAATGTGATGACACATATTAGGTTTTAGTACACACGTAGCCTGTAGGAAAAGCTCCAATGCAAGCTACTTAGACATCTATAGTATGGCGCAGCATTAAGTATCAGAAATAGGTCCAATAGAATTTAAAAACCCTATCAGCAAATTAATTGTTAGCTAGTTATCATAATATCAGAAATGGGTCTACATAGCTATAGAGGACCAAATGATATACAAAAATTCTGATCTCCCATTGTTTCTTTAACTAGACCTTTGTTCCTAATTTATTGAAGGAGTATCATCCCAGTAAGCGAGCTAGTTCACACATATTAGATACATCACTATGTATATTCGGAAGTTTTCTTCAATATTTTCATGGTTTACCCCTGTTTACAATAGTATTTTGCATTCATTTATTTGTATCTCTAAGTAAAATTCACTAGTGAAACCATGAATGGCAGGGAAAAATACTATTTCCTCTTGTTTAGCTGGAAACCAGTAAAATATGTTCATCTTTTTGAGAAATTAGGATAGTAAAAGAGGAAAAGAAGTTTCAGTAGCCAGTTTGTTTCTGAAAAAAGTATTTTCTTGATTTACTACACACACTGCACGTATTGACAGATAGTTTGAGCAACAAGTGTTGAAGCCAAGTAGTATGGAAAGATTCAAAGCAACTAAAAAGTTAAAGTCCTTCAACCTTGTGAACCCAACAAAAGCAAATCGGTTGCGTTATAAGGAAGAAGGAAACAAGAACTAAAAGAAACTTCCAGCTTTTGTTTTTACTGTGTGACCTTTAATGTAATATTGAGCTAAATGAACTTTCTCTGTTAAAATAGAAATTTCTGACGAACATATATGTGACGAATGAAGCTAAGTGCTATATGACTACATCATAGGGAGGCAGAATAATTTGTCAAGTATTATCAAACGCTACCAGATCAGGTACAAAAGGGAAGAGCACTTTGGAGAGCCCAATGGAAGTGGAGTCTGCTGGGGTTCCTGCCGAAAGGAAAACAAAACGACTATGAGGGAGAGAGAGAGAGTTACGAAAACAAGTTACGAGAGTATCCCAAAAACGTTATGCTGAGCAAGCAGTATCATTCTGAATAATAAGCAGTTATATTTTTCAAAGTAGAAAGATATGAAGGAACAAAAAAAAGGAGAGCAACAAAAAGTAGAAAGATGTCAATTTCCTCCCCCAACACCATACGAAAGAAAAGATGTCAATCCCCCATGTTTCATCCAGTAAGTTGAAGATCAGTAAAAAACAGTTGTTTGCACTTTTTTATCCTTCTGGTAGAGTAAAGCAAAAGAATTGTAAGACTCCCACCTGGAAGTGGTATTTGAACTTATAACTGCATTAACTGAAGAAAAAATTCAGAATCTTGGTAAATCAAAAGTAATCTCGTATATATTTGCGGATGACAACA